GGGGGGGGGTGGGGGGGGGGGGTTGTCCTTATTATAATTTTGGTAATTAAGGCCTCTGCAGAAGGGTTTAGGGCCACATCATGGGGTTTTGCGCTTTGGGTATAGCTTTGTAACGTACAACAGGGGGAACCTCCAATTTGTAGAACAGCCGCAGCCGCGCAGAGCGCAACAGCGAGACGACGCCCAGAGTTGATCCTGAGGTGTTGAGGGCACTTTTCGAAGTCTGTGCTGCACCTCGATGTAGGAAGACATCCGACACATGGGCATTGTGTTTGGCGGTTTATGGTGTTGCATGTTGGTTCTCACGCAAGAGGTACGGCCGTTTGATTGAGTTGCTGAGGGTACCACTAAGAGTTTGAGTGCAGAGTCAGGTGGGCACCTCATAGTCTAGCCTGCTCCAAGCATGCAGCTGTGCAGGTTCAAGCTCCTGCGGCTCCGATCCTCAGCTTTCCCGGTGTTCACAGCACCAAAGCATGAGACGATTCCTTGGGAGGGGTGCTTATCTTGGATTTCAGACGTGGTCTACGATTATTTAGCTTGAGGGACAGAAGAGCGGCAGAAGAGGTTGCCAAAAGAAGTGGCCTCACTGTCTTGACATCTGATTGCTCACATGAGTTCTGTAGATCCCTGTAAGGAGCCCCTATAGATCCCTATAAGGAAGCCTTATATAACCCCCCCCCCCCCCGTTGCCACCACCCTGGTGCCACCTTGGCTTTGACCGGAAGATCCTCTGAGGCCTCGCCGCTGCAGACGACCGTCTCCGCTTTAGATGCTGCTCACTCAGACTCAGATTCGACTAGAGGGTCTCTCCGGGAGAATGTGTTCCTTGTCTTGTCTGGGTGGATTTGGAAGGTACGTGTGTATAGTTTGCGGCTGTACTAGTAGCGAAACTCCACCAAAGCTGATGCCCTCCATGCCGCCTGCTCTTGCTGAGGCAAATGCGAGCCCTCCGGCGGACGGAGAGGCTGCACTTGCCAAGGTGCATCGGAGCTAGCATGTTGGAGCAGTCAGGATAGACCTTGCCGTGGGGAATAGACGGAGGCAGGTCCAGAGCACAGACTTGTCCTCTCTGCTCTTGCGCATCGTGCCCGCCAGATGACAACGGAAGCTCCAGGCGACGTTGCGAAGGCCAAGCCGACAGGATTAACCGTGCCGACAGAGCATACTAGGTCCTAGGTCCTAGATGCTAGACCGCCCAGCTCTTTACGCCTTTTGATGGGAGGTTCCACGTTTGTCTGTCTGGTGCTCTCCATGCCAAGAACGAAACAAACCGTGGCAAAAAGTGTGATCGTGAGGGTAAACAAACATCTCTGCCAAGGCCGAGGTCGTGGCAGGGAACTTGGATGTCCGGCACTCAAACTTCTTGGCACTTGTAGCTTCACGGTACAATAGACTAGACGGGTTCAAACCTGGTGCGAGAGTCGAAAGCCGCAGCGGTGGAACGTCGCAAGAAAGATCAAAGCTTCTCGTATATCTCGTCTGGTACGAGGAGCTCCCAGAAGACCGAAAATCTGCTGCTGAGGCACTCAGCGTTGCTGAGAGCCACGAGGAGGACACGAAGCTGGCCAAGGCGCAACAGCCCCCGCTTTAGCCCGCTTTAGCCCAAGCACTCAAAAAAGAAATTCACAGCTGTTTAGGTTTCGATTACATTGTTTGCTGCACAGTGTGAGGCTTTGTGCTTCGGCAAAGGCGGGTTTAAGGGATCAAAAGGCCTTGCTGCAAGTATCTGCAAGTTTGGACAAGGTGCGAGTACAAATCCCCAGCATGGAGCCAGGAGAAGCCGATCAGGAGGCTCATCCTGGATGCGGACAAAGGCCGTTTGCCCCCTTGATTGCCGAGGTTTGCCGTTTGTAGTCACTGGAGCGCAGGTGCCACGACCAAACCACAAGACGAGCACAAGCCGCCTGCCGATGCTCCGGCCGCGGCCCCTCCTGCTGCTTGGCGGGTTCGAGCATTGCACGTAGCACGGGGCGACGCAGCCAGCCTGCATCCTTCGTTTAGCCCCGTTGAATGCAGCAGTTCCCATGCCCAGGACACGACATTGGCTCCGATCCCAGGTGAAGCGACGGCTAAGGAAGAGGCCCCTGTAGCTTCGCGTCAAAAAAAGTCGAAAACAGAGCAGCGAGCAGGATGATAAGAATCCAAGTCAGCTTTCGCCCCGCAGCCCTCTTGCAGAGTTGCTTCCCGTTCGCAGTCAGGCCGTGGCACCTCGAGTGGCCCCCGAGCTCGAAAGCCTGCGGCAGAAAGCTCAGGAGGCCCTCCATGCTCAGCATATTATTACGATCATTATTATTATTATTAGTATTGTTAGTGCGACGCTTTCTGTATTATTATTTTCTTTTATTATTATCATTACTATTATTTTTGTTATTATTATTGTTGCTCTTATTGTTATTATTATTATTACCATTTTTATTATTGTTATTTGTATTATTAGTATTCATCTAACCTCGGAATCCCGGCTCCAGCTCCGCAGCCTGCACCCCGGATCCTCTCACCCGGTGAAGGCGCTGCTGAACGGCGCGCAGACCGGAGAGCCCCTCGACTGGGCAGTTCCCTAAATTAGGGTCCCTTTTAGGGTTTAGGGTCCCTTTTAGGGTTCCTATTAGGGTCCCTTTTAGGGTCCCTATTAGGGTCCCTTTTAGGGTCCTTTGGGTTTTAGGGTTTAGGGTTTAGGGGACTGCGCCAAGTTGAGCCTCAGTGCCTTTTTACGTTTCGCTGCGAAGCTGCAACGCCCCACATTCCGACACCATGAGGCACCGCTCTCTCGGCACAGCCACTCCGACCTGATCCGACTGATAAAGGTGCCTTAATAGTTAGAATAGGATTTTGGGGGCCCATTATACTATATTTATAATAAGGAACCCCCAAAAAACCTATTCTAGTTACTAAGGCCCCTTATACTAGTCATTATAGTCCCTTCGCCTCTGAGAGTCTGAGGCTCTGGAACCTGCTCCAGCGCTTTGCTGCGAAGGGCAGCGAGCAGAAAGCCTCGGCGTCGGCCGCCCTTTGCCAGGCTCGAGCTCTGTGAAAGTTCGAGATTAGGGTTTAGGGTTTAGGGGTTTAGGGTTGAGGGTTTAGGTAGGGGTTTAGGGGTTTAGGGTTTAGGGGTTTAGGGGTTTAGGGTTTAGGGGTTTAGGGGTTTAGGGTTTAGGGTTTAGGTCTTTAGGGTTTAAGGTTTAGGGGCCCTAAGCCATAGAGCCCTAAACCCGAGGCTGTAGCTGTTCCTTTTGCAACCCGAAGCCTAACGGCCAACCTGAAGCGCATGAATGGGTCTCAGTTCGGGAACCCGAGAGTGCTTTTGGCCCGTAACCTGGAAGCGAAGCTCGAGAGATTTCGAGAGCTGGAATTTCTTGAGAGGAAGAGTAGCCCTAGGCCCACAGAGGGCCTTTTTGTTCTTTTTTCTCTGAAAGCCCCCCAAAGCGGCTCTCGAGTCTCCAAAGCCACGGGCAGGCGGCACAGTCGGGAGAACTCGTCGAAGCGCTGCGGAAATGTGGAACTGCACAGGAGCGTGATTTTTGCTTTTCTTCTTGTCGTCCTTCGATGTTTTATGCAATGCTCGGGCTTGCATTGGAAAGGTCGCTGCCTTGCGCCTTGCTGACTACTTCACCCTGCATGCCATCCCACTTCTTGCACGTCGCGAAATCCCAAAACCGATTCAGGCGGCGGTGGCCTCCGCGGAGTTCGACCGCGTTCGCTGCTGGACTTGACTTTGGAGTAAGTGCACATGCATGGCACCCTCCGTGTGTGCAGTCATGTCTTTTATTCATGTATGTATGTACGTATGTATGTATGCGGCGTGTATGTGCATGTATATGCGCAGAGGTGCATGTGTGTGTGTGTGTGGCAGTCCATCGCTGCACAAAAACTATGTCAAGCAAAGGAATGTCTTTCTGCATGCATGCATGCATGTGTGTATGCGCACATGGCTGTATGTGTGTATCTATGTATTTACGTGTCTACAGTGTCTACGCATGTATTGTATGTACGATATGTCTGGGATGTATGGCATGTAAATGCATGTATGTAACTGTATGTATGAATGTGTGCATCTATGTATGTACGTACGTACCTACGTACGTAGGTATGTATGTACGCACGTATGCATGGTATGGCATGCTATGTACGTTGTGTGGTTGGTATGGTCTGCATGTACGTACGTATGCATGCATCGGCTTCTATGCCCTATCATCTGTGTTGTTGTGCTTCTGGCCCCTCTTGCATGTGTATATCTGTCTGGACGGTCTAACTTTCCAGTTTCGTCTTTCACGCTGTCTCTCTCCCTCCCTCTCTCTCTCTCTCTCTCTCTCTCTGTCTTTCTCTTGCGCTCTGACTTGTTTGTGTTGTTATGTCTATGTCGTTTACACGTGTTGCCGTTGCCGAGGCCAGCACGCGGTCGAGTCCCTGGTGGTCGCCGCCGAGTCGGGAAGGCTCCAACTTCTTCACGAGAAGGGGTCCTATTAATTGGCATGAAGCAGGACATGGAGGAGGCATCAACTTCCTCAATAAAATGGCTCAACTCGGTCAGAAAGAAACACAATCACCACTACGACAAAAGCAACAACTGTCATGTTTGTTGGAGGAAACAAATTATCAAGGAAAACGACTGTAGTCGCAATATCTGCATCAACTGGAGTACGAGGAAAGATCAGGGATGTAGAAATAGCGGCCTCGGTGACAAGACATGGGGTCTTCATGTCTTCGCTTCTGCTGTAGGTTCTGTTTTTTTGGAGCACTGCCACCCCCATCACTGTCCGTTTTCGCTGATGTGAAAAGCCGACGTCTTCGCATTCAGAGCTCAGAATCCATGAGCCGACCTGTTTCCCGATTCGTCGCTTGATCCATTACAAGCCTCAGGCGTTAGGCGCCCTGAGCGGCCCTCCCAGACAGTCTCGAAACACCAATGGGCCACCTAAAACTTGCAATGCATACCGGTCGAGCTCGCATGTTGGTGTTGCGAAATTGCTGTTGGCGGCGGTTGTGGTACACTTGTGCCCAAAGCCCGGAACCACGAAATGAATCTCGCGAATGAGACAAAACCAGTTCATGCAAAACTACCGTTCATCAATTGTTGCTACAGGTAGTACTACTACTGCTAGTTTATTCCGATGACTACGATGTTGTATTCCGTGCATCTGGCAGAGGCTCCTCGAGGCCTTGCAGGAGCGGAAGGTCCACGAGGAGGATCGGACTCCGGGGCCCTTTTGTGGGCTAACCCCAGCAAGCCACAGAAACCTCCTCCCGCCCTTCAACAAATTCCTGAAGATCCGGCTAGGGGGAACTTTCGAACTTCGGAGACGAGCGCCCCAAACGAAAAACCCTGCATTGGCCCCCGGCTGATAGAAAGCCCTTCTTAAAGCTAATATGAAGCCCTGAAGGCCTTCTTCAAGCCATATGAAGCCCTTCTTTAAAGCCTTCCGAAGGCCTGAAAAAGAAAAACGCCAGGAGACAAAGCTATAGGATCCCTTAAAGGAGCCTTATAACTACCCATGAACCCCCCCAAGTGTACGGCTTTTGGCTGAGGAGACAAAGCGAGCGGGAGCGCTGCTCCAGGAGGCCCGGGAGCAGGCCCGGCCCGGGAGCGAAAGAGCGGGAAAAGAGAGAGAGAGGGAGAGGCACTCTCTTGGTAAAATGGTTAGCCTCTTTTGTTGTTTGTTTTGTTGTGGCCTTTTTTTTTTGTTTGGGGGGGGGG